ACCTGGGTCAGAGGCAGCCTATCCGCTTGACTCTACAGCCTAGAAGCCATCCCTACAGTCCAGCAAGCCCTTCACACAGCCATAAAGGCCCTGTTCCCCTTCTCAGGGTAGGTACATCTCCCAGGATCAGAAGGGTTCAGCTGTGGGGCTAGAATCCATAGTCCTATTCAGCTCCCCCCTTGCTTCCCCAGCTGCAGGTGCAGCTGCCAAATTGAACTCACTTTCTTGGGCAAGTCCTCCCTCACTTTCCATTCCCAGTCAGTGGCAGGCCAGTCACTCCAACCTGCCTATGCAGATGACCTGCTACACCAACTTTCCAAGACAATACCCCAGTACACCACTTCCCTCAACCTTTCTTGCCTCCCCACCAAAGAGATCTCCTATAAAAACTATACATTCTTGCCCCTTTAGCACTGGCTTACATTCTCCAAGAACCTGCTCAGCTGCCAGTGCCACCAGGTAGACCCTCCTTCCCTCTACCCCAACCCCTCTACCCCAGCCTGACTGTGCTCCTTTGGCCCTTATGCAGATGAGGATCTAATGATGTGGTAGGGGACACAAACACCAATAATGACAGAAACATATTTTGTTTCCTAACAGTGGGCTTGAAAAAGCACTGTGAAAACAGAGTAGAGGCAACTACTAAGCTTGCACTGGAAAGGGAAGGGTGGGTATCACCAGTGAGAGTCACAGAAGAGGTGCCATTGAGCAAGGTCTAAAGGAACAAATATTACTTTGTCTGGTAGGGTGTGGGAAAGGCAGGGCATCATGTTATGCTAGGTTTGGCAAGCAGTCCTGCATGGCTAGAGCACTGGGAGCACTACTCCCAGGGGTAGTGCTGAGAGCTCAACCTGGGGATGAGCAGAGCCTGGCCATGGGAGAGCTCCTGGAAGGTGGGGACACAGGAACAAGAGGGCACACTAAAGCAACCATTTCTAAGTGAACAAAAAAAGCTGTAATTGATCCAATCAAAGGATGGCTGGCATTGGTTGTTCTGGCATAGGCTGTACCTATTCCTTGCTGCTCCCCTAAACTCCAGGTGTAGGATTCTTCCTGAGAATGGGTGATCCTTGCCTGGCTTCTTTGGGTGCCAGAGGCAGACCACCCCCCTGGGGCACTGGAATGGCCTAGACAGGCACATACTCACCCGAGCCTTCTGCTTTTCAGCCTGGAGCTGTGCATCGATCTCCTCGGGGCTCGTGTACTGCCGTGCCCGGCCTTTGTGGCCTCCCTTTCTACCTGCAGGAAGATTGGCAGCTTAGGAACACAGGCAGAAAGTACCTTCCTTGACTGCTGAGCCCCAGAGGGCTGTGTCCCACTGGAGGCACTCTCATCACAGGTTGCAGACCTCACTTACCCCTCACCAAGCACAACCCAAACCTATACTCCCCAATCCTCACATGTTCAAAGGGACTACAGAGGCAACATATGTCCATCTAATGCAGCACCAGACTATATGCTGGATACAGGCTCCCACAAATAAGACCTGAGGGGAGCATACAGAGGAAAGAATATTCCGTGTAGTAACTGGCTAAATCCCTGGGTCCCTTAGATTCCAAACAGCAAATTCAGACATAATCATGAGAACATGGAACACATCCCTGATGTCACTACAATTTTTTACTTGGAATGTTCTGTCAGAGCCATGGGCTAATTTGATCCACAGAAGAAACTTATGGTACAGGTCCCATATTATAGACAAGCAGACTTAAAATCAAAACAGAGCCGTGAGAAACACGAATGTTGCAGTCCAACCTTGGGATTCAAATCTCTGCACTACCACTTAGCTTTGTGAATATGGGCAGTTACTTAACCTCTATGAGTCCTGGCTTTTGCATGTGTCCCTACCTCATAGCGTTGTCATGAAGATGGATATAACATACTTAAAGCTGTTGGGACAGGGCCTGACATGAGATAAACACTATAAAAATGTTTGTTATGATTGTCACTTTTCTCTCTATATAGTATTTGGGGCAGGGGAAGAAACAAAGCCACATAGGTGATTTACTATACATGTCAGGAAATGCAAAATACTAGGTTAGCCAAAAAGTCCATTTAGTTTTTTCCATAAAAGACATATTTTTCATCACCAATAACTTTACTGATTTGGATATTTTGAGCATGTCGGCTATTGCCCGCTATTGGCCTCTAGTGGATAGAGGCCAGGGGTCCTGCTAAACACCTTCCAATGCATAAGACAGCCCCACAGCAAAGAATTATTTGGCAAAAATGTCAATTGTACCAAGAAACTTCACAAACCACTCCTGACACATTTAATCAGTCATAGCACCTTCTCTGTACACTGTGCAAATCTTTTTTTGCATTTCAGTTGTTTTCACCTTTCTTGAAATAATAATAAATAATAATATAATATGCTGAAAATGTTGTGTATTTTCTTCCATCTTTAATATTCAAATGGCTGCCCAATATTCATCAGTTTTGACATTTTAAAAAATGCTTGTTGCTATGACAGCTGTCACAATACAATCTAACAAAATTGTTTTGAATGAAGTTAAAAACAACTAAGCACTACTAGAATCATTGTACAGAAAAAATTAACCTTTTTGCCCAACCCAGGACTTCATGTTCACCTAAGTGGTATGATGGAAAGTGAAAACTTAAAACCTATTGGGGAAAACTTTCTTGTACTTGGAATAAGAAACGTGAAGTTGAAAATAAACCTGACTACCACCTAAGAGTTAGAGTTAAAAATATAACTAGCAATTCAAGTTCATCTGGGAGTATCAGTTTTATAGAATGACCCCTGCTAAAGCCATCAGTCAGTTTTACAGCAAGGTGGCCCCCCTCCTGCTGGTCCCAGAGAACACTGGGATGGCTGTGGTCTTGACCCATCCTGGCGTTTCCTGAAAGCTATGGTCCACCTGACTTGCAGTAAGGCTCTCACTGGTAGCAGAGAATCTCTATTAGACAACCAGAGCTGCTCTGAACGCCAAAGACAGTAACAAAAATACTGGCCTCCCCTGATTTCCTAGACAGCAGCTGCAGAGCCATAATTGGGCTGCTACAAAGTACACCACCCACTTTTAATGACTACCTGGGTTCCCAGGAGTATCTCAGTATATGCTCGTGAATGTCCTATTGTGAGAAATCAAGCTTGCCATTGTAAGAAACCAACACCCTTTCTTGCCCCCTTAATATTCCAGGCAATAATAACACCTCAAAACTGGCTACTACAGGCTCCCATCCTGCACACTTGACTGTGGGATGCTGACCTTAGTTTGGTCTATAATAACTTTTATCAGAAGCCCTCATGCTTTAAAAATGCTTCACAGTTATATAATGGGAATAAAGTTGGTCTTTTGCTCATGGGGGATTTTATACCTTAACATCTTCATGTTTTTTTACTTTTAACCAAGAATTCCCTTTTAGGGCTTCCTAACTAACCTCCAACTGTGGTTCAAAGGAGCTCCTACAGCCAGAATTCTGGAGTCAGAAGGGCTCACTTAGCATCCTCTTTGTGCAGAAGACTAAGGAACATAGAGACATGGCTCTTCCTACCACAGAATAAACAATAGCTAGGTTTAAATGGATACATCTCTGTAAAGTCCACTGTCTCTGGAAGTAGAGTCAAGAAGTCATTTACGTTTGAAAGAGCTCCAAGTAGATTTTGCTGTGGGTGGATACAAGCCAACCAACATGATACATGATCTACCAACATTAACTAAACACATGTTCTGTGCCAGGAGCCAGCCAGGAACCTCAGGTGCTACCACTTTTTGACCCCTGACTCCAACTCTCCAGCCTAAGGGTTATCAGCCAGGTGTTTCAGATAAGGAAAACAAGCTGGAAGAAGTTAAATAACTTGTCAAAGCCACAGGATGAACTTCAAATCGAGAACTATTGACTTACGAGAAAAAGGATGGAGGAGGGTCGACAATGTACTGGGAAACCAAAGAATCTTTACTTTCTTGGCCAAGGAGCTGAAAAAGTCTTACAAATAACAATAGCTAACGTTTACTGGGCACCTGGCTGCCCCTCACTGTAATGCGCACTCCACGTGGATTACCTAGTTCAAAGCATAGCATCAGGTAAGTACTATGAGGTAAGTACAATCATTACCCCCATTAGCAAATGAGAAAACCGAGACAGGGGGAGATTAAGCGACTGGCTCAAAGGCACACGTCAAGCCGATGCTGAATACGGCACTCAAAGCCGAGTCTCCAACGCTCAAGAGCATCAACTTATGTCCCATCCGACAGGTCTGCCTCGCCCAGAGCCCGAGAGGGCCCACGTTTTACACGCGAGGCAGGTGGGCCCTGCACAGGCGCGAGATGCGGTGACTCAGTCCACGGCGAGTCTACAATAAAGAAAAGTCCAAACTCCCCCATTCCAGGAGAAGCGCGCCCTATATCTGGCCCTGTGCGTCGGTGAAAATCCGGAGCCTCCGAGCTCCCTCAGACCCCCGAAGGAGTGGCTCGAGGCCACGATGGTCCTCTCCCCATAGAGACAATTAGGCGTCCAGGCCCAATCTTGGCCCTCAGCCGGCACCGGCATCCTCCCTCTGCGCCGCTCTCTGAGACGGCCACGGGCTCAGTGAGCAGCAGGAGCCAGACTCCCGCCGCCCCTCGAGGCCCGCCGGCCACGCGCGGCCGCCCCTCACCTCCTTTAGGCATCGCGGCTCCGGCGGCGGCGGCGGCGGCGGCGCCTTGCACTGACACCGGAACCGGAAATACTCGAGGATGGACGTCTTCCGTCCAGCCCAGTGCCCCACAGCACGCTGCCGCCGCCACCGCCGCAGCCGCTGCCGCAGCCGCCGCCGCAAGGACTGGGAAACACAGGGAGGCTGGCGCACGAAGCTGGGCTGTCCCGCGCGCCGCCTGATTCCAGGATCGCACGCGTGTTGCCAGGCAACAGCACTTCCGGTCTCCCCTCCTGGGGAGATGCGTATGTCGGCTAGTCAACCCCTGGAAAGTGAGGATAAAAAGGCAACAATGATTCTGGTGTTCTATACAGGCTGAGGTGCGGACACCTAAGATGACGCAACACCTGCGAATGGTGGGGCGGGGCTCCGCAAAGACCTCATCCTGAAGTGATCACCTGGGAAGCGGAAGCAGTAGAGAAAGAAGCGGGGGCCAACGGCTTTAAAGGTTCCGGTAGGTGTTTTTGATCTTTTCTCGAGTACCTTGGTAATGGTTGGGGCCAGATATCGGAGGTTTGCACTGGCCCAGAGAGCGATCTCAGTGTCTGGCCTAGGGCGGGTTCGGCCCTCTAGAACGGGAGGTCAGAATGAGATCCGGAGAGGAGGCGGCCCCTCGGTCGTTCTGCAGAGGGGATGGGAGATTTGGGGCTTTTCTTGTTTCTCTCTTTCCTCGCCCCCATACACGCTGTTTTTTCTGCCGAGTATGTTTTCTGCCAACAAACTGCTTGTTGTTGTAAGCCTGGTTCAGATGCCATCCTTCTATAAGCCTCTATTCCAGTCCTGGGTGTAACGTCTTCCCTCTTTTCCTCCGAAAGCCTTCCCACTCGACTCCTCTCCCGAGCGCTACTGCTTGTGTTATATCTCCCGACACCTCTTGATCTAGTTTACCTCCTACCTGTACCTCTCCTGGGAGGTATTCTCTTGATTCAAAGGCTGGACCAGGGCCCTCGAATTTCCCTGGGTGATAGCAGAATGGTTCTTCTTGTGTCTTTGTACTCCCAGTCCTTGCGTGCTGTGGCAGGAACCAGATTCCATCCATCTCTAGCTTTAACGTAGAGGAGACAAGTGCAAAAGACCACTGATTTAGGAGTCGGGAGCCCCCAGTCAGAATCAGACGCTGTCAGTTCCCAGCTGTGGGACTTTGACTTTACCTTCTGGAGTTTATTTTCTTATCTGTATGGTTGTTACGGAGAATTCGTGAAAGGAGGTTGTGAGGGTTGGGGGGACTTTGTAAACTGTCTTACGTCCTACAGAAAGGAGGGGCTGAATGATTTGGGGGGAGAGGAGTCTGCTATACTTAACGGTGAGAGATAACCTGAGTTCTCTGCCAACTAGGAAATGCTGTGAGGTTTGAAAAAAGTTCTTTTCTATTTACATTTGGGCTGGACTATTTTGTTGTTGTTGTTGTCCAAGTACAATTGTTTCCATATGGGCTGCTCTATTACATGGGTTTTACATGACTTGCCTCTAGGTTGTATGTTTGTTGAGTTTAAAAAGAGACCTTGGAGCCCTGATCAGGTGGCTCAGCTGATTGGAACGTTGTCTTGTGCACCAAAAAGATTAAGGTTTGATACCCGGTTTGGGCACATATACCTAGGTTTTGGGTTTGATCCACTCTTGGGATGTGTATGAGAGGCAGTCGATGTTTCTCACATCGATGTTTCTCTCTCTCTCTCCCCCTCCCTCTCTTTCTCTCAAATCAATGAAAGCATATCCTTGGATGAGGATTAAAAAGAGACCTTGGCAATCCAGCTAATCCACCACCCTCACTTTACAGATGAGACTGAGGACCAGAGAGAGAATGTGACTTCCCAGTCACAGACTATTTGGTAGAGCTGGACAAGAACCTGAGCCTGTAACTGAAGAGACCAGATAGATATCTTTCAGTTACAATCTTGGGAAACAGCCCTAAGGTACTTTGGTTTTACATGGTCTTTTTCCCTTTTTAAACACTCATCCTTTCAACTCCTTCCATAGTTTTCACATTGTATTGTAATTGCGTTTTTGCTTTCTATCTGCTTCCTAGATTGTCACCTTCTCAGGGACAGAGGTTGTATCTTATTCTTTGTTCTGTGTTCCCAGTATCCATTTCAGGGCCAGGCTAATAGTTGGTGTTGGTAATTAATAACAACAGCAAAAACCTACTAAACTCCCATTAAAAGCCAGGTATACTACATAGAAATTATAGTTATGTCTTCACAATGACCCTATAACGTAGGTTCTATAACCCCATTTTACAGATGCAATTAACAGAGTTAGAGAAGTAAATGTGCCCCACAATGGAGGCTGTGAGGGCCTTTGGGTATCTGAGATTCCAAAACTAATTTACTTAATTTTTCCTCCCAGATCTTTGCAAATTATCTTGTGGGGGAAAATGCCTAAAGTCAAAAGAAGCCGGAAAGCTCCCCCAGATGGCTGGGAGTTGATCGAACCAACGCTGGATGAATTAGATCAAAAGATGAGAGAAGGTGAGTAGGGGAGTTCCTATCTGGGGGGCTGCATCCAAGGGTCACTGGCTTAGATGCCTCTATGGGCCAGGCATAAATGCACGTCTGAATGCAAAGAGGGCACCAGTGTGGCTTCTTGACACTGACGTATTTTGTTTGCTTATTAATCCACAGGAATAGAATAAGTGCTAAAAAAGTAAGAATACGCTTACGAAAAGGGCCTAAAGAACATTTGGGGGCCAATTTGCATATATAAATTTTAGGGAATATAGAGCAAATAGTTGGCCTGTAGTTACTTACTGTTTTTGGTTGGGTGTATGTTTAAAATTATACAAAGTGTATTTATTTGGAAAGCCCTGTTCTTTTCACTTTTTTTCTGAAACATTTTTATTCAGAATTTTCCTTATGGGTTTCTGACAGTCTTTTCATCATCTTTGTTTCTGCATTATCTACCAGTTTTCTAGAATGCACCATCTTCACTTCCCTCTAAATGTATAATCCTGCACTTGCTAATCAGTGTAGTGTACTGTTTTTGGAAATTTTATTAGAAGCCACAAACATCTGTTAGCCTTATATGATCCCCATGTAACCCTTTATTAAGTTGCTTCTTTTTTTTTTTAATCCTCACCCAAGGATATGTCTATTGATTTTAGAGAGGGAGAGAAAGAGAATAATCGATATGAAAGAGAAACATTGATCAGTTGCCTCTTGAATGCACCCCAACTGGGGTTCAAACCCCAGTACATAAACAGTGCCCACACCTTTTAAGTATATGAGACAATGCTCCAACCAACTGAGCCACCACGCCAGGGCCTAAATTACTTTTTAAAGTGATTTTTTAATTTTGAGGTAACTAACCATTGTTACTGTGGAGTCATACTTCAGCAGTAATTACTAAATGAATGTTAAATTATTTTGCCTCCTTTCTCCAAAACCTCTATTAAATTTCAGAACTTAAAGTAATCAAGATCATTTTGGGCTGAGAGATTTCTTCCCCAAAAAGATCTTTATTCAAAATAAAGGGACTTGGAGAATACTGTAATAGGTTTTGTGAGTCCTTAAAAATAAATCTTCCTTTCTTAAGGGATAACTGTTGGGGGGGGAGTATTTAGACATATGTGATCTTCTTTACCTCCAAAATAAGTATTCTTTCACCCATTTTTACTTAACCATGTAGCCCTTCAGCATTTCTTTGCTTGCCCAGTTTACTCTTACTTCCACTGTAAGGAAAACAGAGTGGGTGGCAGGTGGTATCAGACTTGGCTTCAGTGTTGGGAACCATAGGGAGCTCTGGGGGTGTGGCAGACTGGTGAGGGCCAGAAGCTGTTCCTTCTGAGCCCATTTTACCACACTGAATATAGCCTGCATATTGCCCAATTTGCTGATTTTTTTTTCTCCCAAGAGAAGCAGGAAATCCAGCTGTTTTATGTAAACTGTTCTAATTTAAAATTCAGACTTAAAAAAATTCTGTGGGGAAAACCAAACAAAATCTCTCCCAGCCTTACCTTTAGCCTGGCTGGGGCTGCCAGCTTCCAGTGCAGGTCTGTTTTAGTAACAGTTTTCTTTCATTTTACTTATTTTCAGAGAGGGGAAGGGAGGGAGAGAAACGATGTGCAAGAGAAACTTCAATCAGTTGCCTCTCGCACACCCCTAGCTGGTACCTGGCCCACCACCCAGGCATGCGCCCCAACCAGGAATCAGACTGGGAACGGAACTAGCAACCCTTCGGTCCACAGGCCAGCACTCAAACCACACCAGTCAGGGCAGCCAGTGCAAGTTTTGCCCATGGAATCTGTGGCCATGCTTTTAGGCTATGGAAGACCCCTGCATGGCCTTTGCCACAGAGAGGTCTAAAACCAGTGGCATTTCTACACCTGTTGTCTTGGTCTGGGAGCCATTTATAGAACAATTCACAGTTATTGAAGCAGTTGACACTGTTATCTTAGAAGGGAAGATTTCAGCATAACTTCTTGTCTCTTCATATGTCTCTTAGCTCATTATTTAAGTTTTTGTGTAGCCACTCTTGCCCTATAAGTCCCACCAAAGATGGCCTGATAATGGAGACTGAGGGGCAGAGGTGGGGGAAATTATGTGTGGCAGAGGGTTCTATGGGGATGGACAAAGGCATTATCTCTATGGACTATAACCAGGACTTGAAAATAACTTTGTTTTTATAAGAACTTTTAACTAGTTGAAGCCCTGCCTGGGAGACTGTTAGTTGGGGCATCATCCAGTACACCCAAAGGTTGTGGGTTCGATTCCCAGGCAGGGTACATACAAGAGGCAACTGATTGATGTTTCTCCTCTCTCTCTCCCCTCTTACTCCCACCCCTTTTTTCTCTTTCTTAAAAAAAAAAAAATCAATAAAACACATCCTCAAGTGAGGATTAAAAAAATATATAAACCAGTTGAAAACAGTATAGTCAACACTCCCATGATAAACATTTAATTAGACTTTTTAAGAATAGAACTTGAAAAGAATTGTTGCCCAGGGGTAGTTTTGTTTTGTTTTAACTGATTTATTTTTAGAGCTAAGTGAAAGGAGGGATAAAGAGAGGGAGAGGAACATTGATGTGAAAGAGAAACACTAATTGGTTGCCTCTTGTACGTGCCCTGACAAGGCACTGAACCCTCAACGCAGGCATGTGCCCTGACTGGGAATTAAACTGGCAACCCTTTGCTTTGCAGGATGACCCCCAACCAACCAAGCCACACTGGTCAGGGCTTCTTGCCCAGGTTTTGAAGTTAATGAGCAGGTTTTGGCATTAGCAAAGAGGCAGAAACCTAAGTCTAGATTATGGCACGATATCCCCTACCTCTGGCCTCTTCATATCCTCATCTTCGCATCACTGACTGAATGCTGCCTTCCACTTTTGTGTGAACCTATACAAAATATCCAAAAATGTTCACATGATCTTGTCAAAATGGGCCCAAAATGGGATTTTTTAAATGTGTGATGCTGTGATTAAAAGATTGAGAGAAAACTCAAAAGCGTAGAAATGTTCCATTTCCAAGATGGCATCTTAAGGAGCTCCATGCCCCTGCCTTTCCACCAGTGGTCTCATCTAACCACATTGCTTTCCACACTCTCTGCCCAGGTGAGCAAATGCCTTCTCCAGCCTTGTCTCCCCACTAGGCTCTATACTAATGGTGAATCCTCATTCACCCACCCCAAAGATGCTTCCCTTCTCAGGCCACAAACTGTGAAGCTGCCCTTCACTCCCCTCTTTCTTTTATTCCTATACAAGCATCAAAGATATCCAGATTCCTATAAAGGGTGGTAAAACAGAGAGGGAAAGTTGTTACAGATAAATAAGACTTGAGACAAATCAACCAAATACCACATTTGGATGTTATTTAGATCTTAATTCAGACACACAGTTGTCAGGTATTTTTGAGGCAATCAGTGAAAATTGAATATGGGATCCTAATAAGGAATAATGATTGGTTTTGTTGGGTTGGATATTGGCATTACAGACATTAGTATATAGAGATACATATGTATTTATGAATGCATTGCTCAATGTTTGAGATTCATTTTAAAATACTCCTATGCCCCCACTCCCAAAAGTGGGGAGAACAGGCCCTAGCTGGTTCAGTGGGTTTGGCATATTCCCACAAACCAAAAGGTTGCCATTTCAATTCCCGGTCAGGGCACCTGCTTGGGTTGAGGACCACGTCTCTGGTTGGGGGGCGTGCGAGAGGCAGCTGATCAATGTTTCTCTCCCTCTACTTCCCTGTCCCTTCCCCTCTCTCTAAAAATAAATAAATAAAAATCCTTTTTTAAGTATTAAGAAGATAAACTGCAGTGTGTCTTTTTTTTTAAAGTGAGGAGAACAGGACAAAATTAAACTAGCTGTTAGTAATTCTTGAAGTTGAATGATAAGTACTTGGGAGTTCAATAAACTTTTGTGTATATTTGAAATTATTGATAGTGAAATCTTAGAAAATCCATGTATCTACAATCTGACTCCTTTTATCCCATCTACTCCCACCACCTGGTTCAAGCTACCCTTACCTCTCATCTGGATTACTGTAATAGCCTCCTCCTTCTCTCCCCACAGTCTTCTCCACAGGGCAGCCAGGGTGATGATTTTAAGTTCAAAGTCACATTTGTAACACTGTCTGCTCAGAACCCTCCGGTGGTTCACCTTCTCGTCAGAGCAAAACCAATGTCCTGTGGCCTTTCGGGTCAAACATAGTCTCACCCCCAACTCTTGACCTCCATCACCTACCTCTCTCCCTCCCTTACCTTCCCAGCCCCCCAGCCGCTCTGCTGTTCTTTGATGCCCAGGTACAGTCCTGCCTGAAGGGCCTTTGTGTTGCTGTCGGCTTCTCAAGCATGTTTGCCCCTCATATTTCTTTTTTTTTTTAATTGAGATACTATTGACATAAAACATTGCTTTGAGTTGTACAACATAATGATATGATACATGTATACTTATATTGCAAAATGATTATCACAATACATTTAGTATTAATAAATATCCATCTCAATTCCCAGCCAGGACACATGTCTGGGTTGCAGGCCACGGCAACCGCACATTGATGTTTCTCTCCCTCTCTCTCTCTCTCTCTCTCTCTCTCTCTCTCTCTCTCTCTCTCTCTCTCTCTCTCTCTCTCTCTCTCTCTCTCTCCCTCCCTCCCTCCCTCCCTCCCCCCCTCCCCCCCTTTCCCTCTCCCCGCTTTCCCTCTCTAAAAATAAATAAATCTTTTATAAATAAATAAATAAATAAATATCCATCCCCTCACATAGTTACACTGTGTGTGTGTGCGTGAGAGAGATAAGAACATTTGAGATTAAACTCTCTTAGCAGCTTTCAAATGTACAATGCAGTATTGTTGACTTTAGTCTCCGTGCTGCACGTTACCTCCTCAGGACTCATTTATAACTACAAGTTTGTACCTTTTGACCGCCTTCACCCATTTCGCCCACCTCCCTCCCCTCTTGTTTCTTAAGGTCTCTGATTAGATGTCTCCTTCGTGCTTCCTTTCATCACCCATATAAAATGGCAGTCCCTCCTTTCCCTGCTTGCTGTCCCCTCCCGTGTTTTCTTTTTCTCTGTGGCCATTAGCACTTACCACCAGGTGTTGACCTGCTTCCCTCCTCTGGAACGCAGCCCTGGGGCTTCTCTGTCCTCCTCACTGCTGCATCCTGGGCTCCCGGAGCAGGGCCTGGCCTGCAGTGGGCACACTTACTTGCTGCATCCTCAACACCTGCCTTTTGATTCAGTCACAGAAACCTGTTTGTTGAGGTGAATTATAAATCCTAGGTAAATAAGACAGCCTCAGAGTTGGAGAAACAGAAATATAGTTTGTTTTGTTTGTTTGTTTGAACCATTCCTTACCTTTCTTCTCTGCCCTACAAACCAAGAGGAGATGGTAGGCAAAGATCAGCTTGGGCCTGCTAAATTGCCTGTGGCGGGTGCGAGCTGCTACCTGACCCTGTGCACACTGGTGGAGCAGTTATTTCCTGCAGCCTGCTGTGCTGGGAGCTTTCAGGCTTGTCCAGTTTTTTTTCCCCTTACCTCTGAAGGACTTTGGTTGGAAAATGAAGTTTGAGGTACCTTAAAAATGATTAGGATGCCCATCAGTGGGCCCAAAATTATATTGAGAAATTATTATACTTGTAGGAATATGTCTGGAAGGATAAAGATCAGGGCGTTAAATAGAGGTTATCTTTGAATTATTTTTCAAAATCTTTTACTTCTAATGTATCTAATTAAAAAGGCATTTTAAAATTAAAACAATATGTTTAAATCAGGTGGCTTACGCTTTTTGCTTTATTTTTTTTAAATAGCTGTATAAGATATAAATCACATAATATATAATTTGCCCTTTCAAAGTATTAAAGTAAGGGGTGTTTAGTATATTCACAGAGTTGGGCAACCATCACCATAATCAATTTTACATTTCATCACCCTGGGAAAAAAATCACATACCTTTTAGTAGTCATCCTCCCCCTCCACATCTCCCAGTTCTCAGCAATCGGCAATCCACTTTCTGTCTCTAAAGACAAAGAATCATACAGTAGGTGGGCTTTGGGGGCTACTTTCTTAGTATAATGTTTTCAAGGTTCATCCGTGCTGTAGCATGCATCAGTACTTCATTCCTTCTTGCGACCTAATTATATTCCATTGTGTGGCTAGTTTACATTTTATCTGTTTATCAGTTGGTGGACACTGGGGTGGTTTCTACTTTCTATGTGCGTGTGTTTCCAGTTCTCTTGGGTATATGCCCAGGAGCAGAATTGCTAAGTCACATGATAACTCGTCTGTGTCCTGAAGAACTGCTGGACTGTTTTCCACAGCAGCCGCACCCTTTTACATTCCTGCCAGCAGCAAACGAGGATTCTGATTTCTCCACATCCTTACTACTTGTTATCGTGTCTTTTTTTATTCTGTCATTTTGATTGTAGTCATCTTAGTAGGTATAAAGTAAGATATATTCTTCATTCCTACTCATTTAAAACAAAAACACTACATCCTGTGCAGAGTAGCCCTACCTACCAAAACAAAATGAACACATACCTTTTTCTCCCCAGCTGAAACAGAACCTCATGAGGGGAAGAGGAAAGTGGAATCCCTGTGGCCCATCTTCAGGATCCACCACCAGAAGACCCGCTATATTTTTGACCTCTTCTACAAGCGGAAAGCCATAAGCAGAGGTAGCTGACTAGATTCTCTCTTGGCCTTTCCACCTTGAGTAGCTTTGAGATCTATTAAGTAATGGCTCTATTCTTGCAAGCCCTGCAAGTTTCATGATATTTTTACCACTAGAAAAGGCGGGAAGGGGTCAATGTTGAATACTCGTTGTAATGAAGGGTAGTGATGGGCTAGCGGTGGGGCAAGCTTTGTTACATCATGGTTTGATGCCCTTTCCCATTATCTTTTTGACAGAACTGTATGAATACTGTATTAAAGAAGGCTATGCAGATAAAAACCTGATTGCAAAATGGAAAAAGCAGGGATATGAGAACTTGTGCTGCCTGCGGTGCATTCAGACACGGGATACCAATTTTGGGACAAACTGCATTTGCCGGGTCCCCAAAAGCAAGCTGGAAGTGGTAATGTCTCTCTCCCTATTGTGTCTGACAATTAAGTTTGATGTTACTTTCACTTCAGAATTCTGTTCCAGTTGACACCGAGGGAGTTTATACTCTTGGGGCTGGAAATAATTTAGTTGCCGTATGTCCTGCTGGCTGTCCCCTCCCCCACCCCCCAGCCCAGAGTGAGCCCCTCTGTTCAGGAAGCCGTGCTAGGCACTTGAGCAGTAATCATATTTGCTATGTCTGGGGGCCAATCTCAAGTCTACCTTTGGGCAAGTTAGTGAACTTCATGCCTCACTTACGAAACGGGGGTAACAACACACACCCCTAAGGTGGTTGGGAGGACGGAGTCAGGAAAGGGTAAGCCAGTCAGCAGTGCTCACCCTTCAGCTGCCCTTTTTTCCAGGCCTCCTTTTCCTCAGTTTGACACTTTAATTACTCTATTTCTTCTGTCATCAAAACTTTGTGTTCCAAACTAGGCTGGGCAGCTCAGGAATGTGCTGGGTATGCAGTAGCTGAGCTGAGGGCACAAGCCTCTCTGAACTGGAACTGCAGGAGGCAAAGGCATTACTGGGATGTCAGCCATTAGGGGCCTTTGAGTGCAGCCTGTTGGCTGACTGTTGTGGATCCGGTTGAGAGCTTAGACCAGATTTTCCATCTTCCAGCTTGGCCTTTCACACAGTCATCACAGAGACCCTTTGCAGACTGGGTAGTTTGTACAGTTGTAACTCTGAGCCAAGGGCTTTAGCTCAGTAGGAATCATCTGGAAAGTCAAGGACAGACATTCTGAGCAGTGGGAAGTGAACGAGGGCTGCCTCGCCCAGGGAAGGTTCTGGGTGTTAGTTTCCTGGGGCAGAGCAGCAGGAGCCCCTCTCTGAGAGCACCAGGATTCCATAGCAGTGTCTGGTCGGGGGTCCTGCCCCGACCCAGCCCGCTTTGGATTTAGGTGGTTTCACCATCAGATCTTGTTTGCCTAAACAAGTTTTACTCCAAAAAGAGAGAAAATGGATATAAACTGCTCTGGGGTCTTCTGTCCACTGGACAAGCCCCAGGCCAGACATCAAGCCACACACCTGGCCTAGGGGACAAGACTGTCCTGCTACCACACAGACTCAGGTGCACACCACTGTCCCTGTGCCCCCACTGGAAAGGTCCCCTACCCAGAGGAGACCCTGAGCAGTGGAAGAAGCCCTCCCTGCCCCCAGGTCACAGCAGGGTATGGCATGCTCACTTGGCAGAACAAAAAGACTCACACAGATTTCCCCGTCCCCCTTTTTTAGGGGAAAAAGTTTAATCTGCATAAATGAAACGTACTGGAGATGTAACTTCAATGTCAACAGCAGCTATTTTATTTTCATGGGGGAACCGAATTTTTGCCATTCCAAACTGTCATAGAGGAGTTTCTGAGGAGTGTCCTGTAGGGAATGACTGTCCAATTGCCAACCTTCTCAGAGGGTGGATTAGTTATGTGTGTGAGGTGGGGTAGAATGCTGTGGGGCGCAGTGTCTCAGCTGTCTTCTGTTGCAGGGCCGGATCATCGAGTGCACACACTGCGGCTGCCGGGGCTGTTCCGGCTGAGGCCCTGGAGCCCTGACCCCTCTCCACCCAGGACTTTGGACTTCACAGGTTTCTGCCTGTCGTGCCACCCCTTTCCTATGAGCAGCTTTTCTGGTAGAGCAGTGCCCCAGGCCCAAGTTGGAGTATGGTCTCTACGTGTGAAGGCATTGTTGTTCATGAGCTATAATTTGTAGAAATAAAACTTGTAACCTTGGGCCCTGCATTAGTTCTTTCAGAGAGCCAGCAGTCTTACAGCCCAGTGGGAGAGTTCCAGGCCCTTGGAACTCAACCCTGACCCTGCCCTTTAGGTGCCATGTGACCATAATCAAGTTCACCGTCCTGATCAGTGATGGGGTTGACAACCTCACAAGTGAGGATGGCTTGAGATGATGTGCCCAGGTGACCAGCTGTGCTGCAACCTGCCGTGAATTTGTCAGGCACCCAGGGCCCAGCACTTGTCCTTATACCATTGCCATCAAAATGCTGCAGTTCTCACTCTGGCTGACCCTATGCTCATGTTTGAGGCTACACCAGTATGTTCACATATCTTTAACATGAAAGACTCCTAGAGTTCCCACAAAGCACTGTGAAGGCTGTGTACTTAGTTCCAGCTCTGCTGGAGGTCCTCTGGGGCCTCCCCATCACCTGTCCCCAAGGCCTCTGTCCACATCACCCTTACAAACAGTGTCTTGTTCCCCCTTGGGCTTGGTCCGGAAATTCTGCCATGGGTGAGGGGCTTCTTCTGCTGGCATCATTTTCAACCACCGCTTATAATAAGCTCGAAAGCCATCAACCTTCTCCAAATAGGTGTTTTTCCCTTTGTACTGTAATTAGAGAAGCATGGAGTGCAAAGATTAGACAAACCAGTTAGAATCACAGCCACTATCTACAGTTAACCCCTAACCACAGCAGCTGTTGCAGCCTCCGGGAAGCTGTGGAAAGGGAGAGGGCACGGAAGCTGAGTACACTAAAGAAAAGTGAAGTATGAAGTTGCTGCACCATGAGGCAGGTCCAGATTGCCATCTGCAAACAATCCTTCCTAAGTATCTGTTCTGCTGCCTCACCCAGGGATGTCATTCCAGTCCCCAAGCCAGAATCACTGGGTCCCACCAACTGTGCCTCTGCAGTCTGCTGAGTGCCTCCACCTCAGCACCACCAGTCTCCTTTCTGACCGTCATCTCAGCACTGTGGTAGTCTCTACAGAGAGGGAGAGAGAGAAGGAGGAAACCGGCTGTACCAGGCAGATACCAGAAGAAAGGTGGCAGAGGAATAATAGAAAAACAAAGTATCAGAGATAAAGACAACATGATGATAAAAGGGTTAATTCAAAAGATTTAACAATTCTAAACTTGTATGTATCTAATGTTGCCTGAAAGTACATAGAGAAGTACCTGCACAATCCCAAAGAAATAAATCCCAAAGAAATGAGTATGAATGTATGACTTAAATACAATAAGCTCTAAGTACTCTGGTAGTCTGGGGACTGCCGACCACTTGAGAAGACCCTTTGTGGGCCCAACACCACAGAGTGAAGAGACAGTTTACTAACCAGTATGTACTCGCTGCATGCAACCAACAGGACTAGTATCCAGAATATATAAAAATCCCTGAGGAAACAATAAGACTAACAACCAAGTGCTCAAAGATGCCAGCTGTGCCCTCTGCTTGGCATACTCTCCACTACTGTCACTAATTCTTACTGAGCCTTCAAAATGCACTCAAGCACTGCATCTGCACAGCTGTCCCTGACCCTGTGCCCCGATAGTTTCGTATGCCCTTGCTGACTTGTCTCCCCACCCATCAGATGGTGCTCCTCCAAGCCACAGCTGTCCTGGAGCTCAGCACAGGGTCTGACTCAATAGACCTAAAAACTGAACCCCCAGAGCTGGATGTCCTCAGAACAGCATGGGGAGAAATGGCCATCACAGCAGACTCTCACTGCCCCACTGCCAACCCCTTTCACTCAAAAACAGTCATACTGGGTACAGGCAGTGAGCAGGCTCCAGGGATCCAAGTGAGCGAGGCAGGCAGTCCCCACCTCTAGGGGCTCACAATTTCATGAAGACAAGTCACGTGCACATGTGAGCATAGGCTATGAAACATGGTGAAAAAACAGTGCTGTATGTAATGGGAAGGGAGACAGCCAGCCGAGTATCTTCTGAGAGAAGCATTTAAGCTGAGACCTACAGGACAAAAAGGAGCCAGTTATATAAAAAAGCAGGAGCAGCCTATTCAAGGGCAGAGCGAATGCAAAAAGCCTGAGGCAGGAAAAGGGCTGGTGTTATCTAGAAAGGACATAAGTCCAATGGGACTGACAGAGCCAACAAAGGGAAGATGGCCTGAGATGAGAGCTATGTGGACAGGGACTTGCAAACCACAGTCTAAGGAGTTTGGGATTTCTCTCCTAAGGGAAGCCACTGACAATTTAAAGTAATGGAATGCTAAGCCCAGGGGTGGGGCAGCACAGGCTGAGGAGACAATGGGCACATTAAAGCCCGGTGCACATACCCGGTCATAGGTGGGTGGGTACTGGGCTGCAAACTCCAGTTGGCGGATGACCACTTCATTCACTGGGACTCTGTTCTGCCTCATGTCCTTCAGGATGTTAATGAGATAGGTGTAGTCCAGTTTCTTGAGGGCCACATTGATGAGGGTGCTGTAGATATGGGTGTTGGGGGTCATCTGGGATTTCTGGAACATCACAGACATACAATCAGTGAGATGATGCAGATTGCTGGGGCAAAGCCTGCTGGGGCATATCCAGCTTGGTGAGCTACCTTGCCAGTCAAGTCTGTTCTGCAGACCAGCAACCAGGGACAAGACAGGCAGAATCTGGTAGCAACAACAGGCTTCACTGCCCTCTCCCAAAGGAAAGCCCAAGTGCCCCACTCTGTGGACCCATTCCATATGGCTGAGAACCTTACCCTCTCAGTCCTCAAGAACTTGAGGAGAGAGATGGGGGGAAAATGGAGACAACTGTATTTGAACAACAATATATAAAAAAAAAGAACTTGGAGAGAGACAATGTTGCTCTCAGAGGTCAACGGACTCAGGCAGTAACCACAGGCAGGAGACCACCTCTTTGGTTCTTGGCTGTGGGTTTACTGCATCCCTTGCCCCCGTCCAAAATTCTGATACATTCCTGCTCTAGTCTATCCTCTACCCCTACAGAGTGTTGGGGCCAAGACCTGTCCCCACCCTTCAATCTCACCCCACTGACACTACCTTCAAGATTGTAACATCCCTGCTCTCAATGCCCAGCCCTGCAGCAGCTCACCAGGGTCACCTTCTCCCAAATTGAGCCAATGATCATTCTACACTTGAAGCTAGAGTGATCCTACTCTCCCTGTCCCTGCCCCCCACCACACACACACAATTTATCCTATCTCAGTACAGAGGATCCCTACTTCCCCTCACTCAGACTTCTTCCTGAGCATCCCCAGAGTGGTCCTCAGCTCTATGGGTCCTGCCCAGGCCTGGGCCCCACTCACCTTCATGTCTGCCAACAGCTGCAGACCATCCTGTGGCCTGTGGCACCCAATAGCCAAATTGCAGAATGTCTGGAGGTTGGGGACGATTCCCCTCTTTGCCAGGACTGGTAGCAGTGCCTGTGGAAACAGACATGGCATCACCATCAGCCCCGACAACAGTCTTGTCTGACCAAGCCCTTGGCAGAAAGCTGGAGACTCCACAGGCACAGCTCTGCTCCAAAGCCTCAGGCTCCCTCTGCTGACCACATTGGGCACTGTCCTCTGCCCAGCCCCCTCTCAGAGCTGTCCAGCCAGCTCCCCAGAATTCAGCCGCTCTCCAACATGCTGTCCCTTCTCCCTGAATGCCTTTCATATCCTGTCCCTCTCTATGCCTCTGTTGGCCATCCTTCCTTGCACTTGGGCCTTTGATGTCTGTGGAGCACCAGAAGCCTTAGAGGCTCATGTCCCACGGTCCAGGGTGTGAGACACCAACAGTGTGGTAAGTGCTGGCTGAGGAGCCTGGGCAGGAGGTGAGGAAAGGACAGAAGACACCTGCTCAGCCTGGCTGCATCAGGGAGGGCCCCAGGGAGAGGCTCTGTCATGTTTAGGGTATCTAGAGAAAGCTGCACCCTGTACTGTAGGCCTGGAGGCAGGGCTGTCTTTGTCACCTCTGATGTTCACAACTGCCCAGGTTAGTGCTCTGGCAGAAAAGCCATCACACAGAAACATGTCTATGAATGGACAAAATCCCATGAGGGCCCTGGTGTCCCCATCTGTGAAGTAGGGACCACCACATACCAGCAGTGCCTCCACGTGTGGTCAGTAAAGAAACAAATGGATGTGGAGATCTTAGAACAGCATCTAGCACAGAGTAAGTGCCATGTTAGTGAGCTGGGGATGGCTGAAGGGTAGGGGCGCTCAGAAGCCACCAGCCGCTCAGGCCACATGTCCCCATGGCCCCCATGGCCCTTGTCAATGCGAGGGGCTATGTTTGGTGTCTACTTCCAACCAGTCTGTGAGCTCCTTGAAGAGAGCAGGGAGTGTGGCTTGCTCAACTCCCAGCTCCTCACCCGAACCCAGGCCCAGAAGAGGGGCTCTGGACAGTCTGCCCGCTAACTGTGGGAATGCATGACACACCTGGCAGGGAAGCCAGGTCCCACAGTCAGAGGGTCAAAGGAGGAAGGGAAAGAAGGGGCTCCAGCCCAGAGCCCGGAGTCTGCCTCCATGCTCACCTTCGCTCCCTCCAGATCACCCAGCTTGCTCTTCTTCCTCATCAGAGTGTTGAAGAATGTCACGTCGGCCTCCACCTGGTGCATGTCCAGGATGGTCAGCAGCGAGGATTCTGTAGGGCTACCAGGATCAACCACCTCAGCCAGCAGCGTAAGGGTTTTGATGTCAGGCCGGAGCCCGTGCTCTGCCATCTTGCCCAGGAATCCCTCCAGGCCCCCCATCAAGGCCAGCCTGTCCGCAGGGGTGGTCACAGTCCCAAAAGAGACCACAGCTGGGGGGACTGCCCCGAGAGTCAGGAGGTTGGCCTCCAGTCCCCCTGGAGGCAGCTCTGAGGCCATAGAGGCAGGGACTACAGTGTGCTCACAGTCCACCTTGGTTCCCACCTCGGGCTGGGCCTTGCTAGGGACTCTGGCCTCTTGAGGCTCTGGAGACCTCTCAAGCACCTGCAAAGGTTCCAGAAACAGCTGTCTCTCCAGGGTCTCCACGTGCAACCTGGCTGACATGCTGTCAACTATCCCGGCCTGGGCTTTCGTCCTTGCCCGCTGTCCACAGGCTGGGGGCTGGAGTGACACCACCTCTTCCCTGGGCCTCAGGAGCAGCACCGAGGCCACTTCTGGGTCTCCCAGGCCGCAGTCCCGAGCTGCCCCCAACAGTAGGTTGTAACCATGTCGGCTCGGCTGGAGCCCAAGACTCAGCATTTGCCTCCACACCTGCCAGGGAGAAACAAGCCTCAGCAGCACGCTCCCTCTAAGACGGGAGCAAGCACAACCAGCTGGCGAACACAAAGGGTACAGGAAGGGCTCAGAGAGTATCTGACCCCACATTGGGCTCTGGGCAACTAAGAATCCTAAGAATCTGGGAACTCTATGGGAAACTTCGGGGGGATACCACTCCTTTCTTCCCTTTAGCTCATCCCAAAAGTCTTCTCATGAAAGATTTATCCCTCTGCCCTCTCCCACGGCCCCTGCACTAGAAACAGGCTTTGCCCTAGGTCCCTGCCACTCCTGTATTCCCCTGGGGATTAATGGCCAGAGAGGCTAGGTTCTGGAAGAATCTAGGCAAACTTAAGGATTGGATTCAGCTGAACTTCCTGAGTGCCTACTGCACGCCCTCCCCCAGGCAGCTTTCTCACACTGGAGAGCACAAGGCAGATGCGGGTGGACAGGGGCTTGGCCAGGCTGTCGGCTGAGGCAGCCCATTTCCTCACGAGATGAGATCATTTTCATCCCCACAGCAGGTGCCTAGTATGTTCTGTGTGTTCAAAAAGCTCTGCTCTGATCATGTCTGCTGACAGACCCCGAGACAGCACCACATGGACTCTAGGTGTCACTTATTCTTTGTCTCTGCGTGACAGAAGGCCACACTCAGGGGACCTAGGGCTCTGATTTCCTGCCCTCAACAGGGACCCGTGTGCAGGTGAGGCAGGGGCTGGTAAGGCCCAGGTGGGCACAACTAGCAAGAAGGCTGCTATCCACCGGACAGGGTCTTCATAGGCACCTCCCCAAGGAGCATCAACAAAACTGAGTTTTAGCAGGGACACAGACCCTATCCCACGGGGTCTGTGACAGGGATTCTGACTCGAGTCAGATGAACCTCAGTTCAAATCCCAGCTCCACTGGTTGGTGGCTGTGAAACTTTAGGCAAGTTACTTAACCTCAGGGAGCCTCAGTTTCCTTATCTATAAAACAAAGCTAATGGCGCCTAGCTCAAGCACTTTAATAAATACAAGACACTGTGCACAGCGGCTAGTATTACAGACTACTTCTAACTAGAACAGATCTAAGCCAAGAAATAACTAGGTCTTGGCCACTTTTCACTATAAAGCTTGCTAATGGCCAGAGCATGGCCAGTGGACACTCCTCCCAGGAAGTCTGAGTAGGGGAGGCAAACATTTGGACCAGGGCCGTCCCAGATTACTGGGACTTGAACTCTGTGCAAACCAGCTACCTGGGGATCCTGCTGAAATGCTGATCTGGATGCAGAGGAGGGGTGGCAATTCTGAGACCCTGGCAAGGCCCAGGTGAGGTTGATGCCACTGGTCTGCAGGTTGCCCCTAAAGTAGGAGGCTCTGAGTGAGCTGCAGATCCTTCCCCACTCTGAGGAGCTAGAACTGCTCTGTGTGGTACCACTGCTAATACTGCCTACCCACTTGATGAGTGGAGTTCTTCCTGGGAATCTAAGGTGGGATTAGAGCAGGATGTCTTGACTTTGATGTTTGTGAGACTCCTGGGGATCCCCTGCAGAGATACTGGGGGGAAGACCTGGGGGAGACGGATGAGCGAGTACCCCAGGTGGGTGTGCTACAGGCATTCAGGGACCATAAGCTTCGCAGATGCAGGCTGACTGCACAGAGGTCTTCTGAGCAGAGTGGGAGAGTGTGGGCTGGCTGCGCCCTTGCTCTCAGGGCAGCGTGCCTCCAGACCACCTCCGAGAGCCTCCTCTCCCCATCTGTAAGGCGAGGTGGGACAGAGGCGCACTGTGCTCTGGGAAGGCCACAATACTGCAAATATAAAAACACCCAGCTCAGGGCAGTAACAGGAGCTCAGGAAACTCACACAGGATCATCATCTGCACTGGACACAGTGCGGGGGTGGGGGTAGAGACAGGAGAGGCAGGAAGGCAGAGCCAGGAGGGACAGACCTGTAGGGCATATCGGAAGCCTGTCTTCTTGTCCTGGATGCAGCCCATAAGCAGCAAGCTGAAGGTCTCCTCTGTGACTGCATGCCCTTTATGAACAATCTCCTGGGGGAGGGAACAAAGAGGCCCTGTTGGAAGTCTGTGGCAGAGCCCAGACCTGCCTGATGGGTCTGACTCAGGACAGATACTCCTGGGGAAGGCCCAGGCCGGCACCCCATGAAGAGGCAGGGCCCAAATCGGGTTCTGGGGCCAGCTTCGACCCAGCTCCTGAGCAAAGCTGTCCAACTGCTGCCCGCACTTCCTCCCCTTCTTTCCCAAGTCTCTTCCCAGCTGCTCCTATCACTTCCATACAGTGCCTCTGAAAAGGCCACCCAGTGATCGCTTTTAGTCCCTGTACTCGAAGCTTTGGAATTGCAGGGCCGGCATCAGGTCCCAGCCGTGGGAGAGTGGCCAGGCTCCCTAGCCTGTTTCCTCACCTGTGGAGTAGGATCACAGGCAGAGTTTGCCTTGGAGGGTCCTTGGAACAACCACAAGGAACAGTGTGGTGGCTGCACAGAGCCAGTGCTCAAGGCGCTAGTCCTCGCCAGTCTCTCTCAGGCCAGGTGGGGTGGGCCACTCCCCCTACCTCTCAGCACCTTAGGGTCTCCTCCTCCAGCCTGTCTTCCTCTGTCTCTCTAGTCAGCAGAGGTGCTCCCACCCCACTGCTGCCACTTTCCTGCCTCCTGCTCTGTCACCAACCACCTACCTCAGTGAGGTTTCAGTCCGTGCGCTCTCTCTCTCACACACATTCACAGCTCCCCCCCGTCAGCCAGAGTAACCTGTCTAAAATACCTGACCATCTGACAGCCCTGCACAGGCCAGGCCAGAGGCCCATCAGCCACACTCTGCCGAAAGTTTCAGCTACTGGCCTCACCCACAGCACCCTTGGGAGGAATCTGTCCCCCACAGGGAGGTCTTCAGGCTCAAGACCCCATAGTCCTGCCTCTCCAGCAGGGCAGGCCCACTCAAGGTAACCAACCCAGGGACTGGCCAAAGGCTGCTCTGCACCACGTGGTGCCTGGATAGTCCATCAGGTCCTCTCTCCTGCGATGTGCAGGTTGGACCTCGCTATATGTGGTGAGGAAGAGTGTCAGTCAGTGATGTGAGGAGTAAGACAGAAAGCAGTCAGTCACCCTAGGTAGAGGGTAAGAACAGAGAGTGAGAAATGCCTTAAGGAAGAGCATGAGGAAAAGGCTGCCAAGGGCGCTGGTTCTCCTAAGGTTTGGTTGTGGCAACCCAGAGCCTTCTCTGCTTCCCATAAGCCTTCACTTCAGTGTTAACTCACACCTGTCTTGCTTCCTCGCAACCTAAGAAAGCAGAACTACCACCCCGCTTATAGGTATTCCCTGCTCAAACCCCCTCCTGGTCTCCTCTGTAAACTGGAAATAAAAAACCTTGGAAGGCCCTGGCCAGGAGGTTCAGTTCGTTGGAGTGTCATCCTGTACCACAAAAGGTTGTGGGTTCAACTCCCAGTCAGGGCCCAGGCCTGGGATGCAGGCCAGGTCCCCGGTTAGGGGTGTATGAGAGGCAACCAGTCAGTTGATGTCTCTCACACACATTGACATTTCTCTCCATCTCTTTCTCCCTTCCTTGCCCTCTCTCTGAAAATAAACAAATAAAATCTCTAAAAATAAAGAAATCTGACAAGCAGGGTCCGTCAGATTCATCTGTGAACCCCAGAGCCCAGCACCGGGCCTATCTCACTGGTCTCTGAACCTTCTCCTGTGAGGGACACAGACGGCCACAGCCCCGCACTGCTGCACAGGACAGGAAGGAATGGCACCCCCACCTTGAACACATCGAGGCACATCCTAAGGTCTGCACACTTGGCAGCCATCTTCAGCAGGGCGTGATATGTTTTCAAGTTGAGCTGGAAATTTCTGGCCTGGAGCTGCTGCCGTAGCTTCAGGGCACTCTGCAGAGCAGATTCCTTCCAGGGGGACTCAGCACACACATTGAACAGGGCTGTATAGGTGGCATCTGAGGGCTCCAGGTCCCGCTTTTTCATCTGCGGAGATGGGGGGAAACGTGGAGGTGGCTCCAGGATCAACTGGACACACAGGTGGCAGCCAGCCCAAGAAAGCTAGAGAGGACTCATTACCGCATTAAACAGGCCTAGGGGCAGGGCCTGCACTATGGCAGAGTGACACAGCAGAGCTCCGCTTTCCAAATCCGACTCAGCCAGAGGGACTCTGAAAACTGACCCCACACCTCAGTTTCACCAAACAGGAAACCATCCTCCCCATGGCACTCATAAGCTCACCCTGGCCCTGAGGTGCGTTAGGCAGGGTCTGCCTGATGCTCCCACCCTCTGGCCCTAGGGTGGATCCAGCCTGGAAAAGGGTGGGAGGTAACAATCAAAGCCCAGCTCCAATGTTTACTAACTGAAGGGGGTGAGCAAGTTAGTTCCTCATTGGAAAAAAACACGAATGATACCCTCGCCTTGAAAGGTTATTGAAGGGTAGGGTAGGGGAGTGGCAGCAGTCAGGACCATGTTACTGCGACACACCCCGGGGCCCCCCACCCTTTGGAGCCTCAAACCCCAGGCTGGGTCCAACACTGCACTTATCAAGCCCTCCAGGTGACTGAGCTCCTGGTAAAGCCAAGTGCTCACTATTTCCCAGAGAAGGGTCACCTGACCAAGGGCAGGCAACAGCTGCTCTGGAAGAGTGAGTGTGAAGAGCCCTGGTCAGGCCATTTTGGGCTCAAATCCCAGCCCCAGAGGTAACCTTGGACAAGGCACTTCATCTCTCTGGGCCTCGATTTCCTCTGAAAAATGAAGATGGTGATCCCAACTTCAAGGATGATTGACACTCCACATGTATTCACACATTGACAGATGGGTACTAAGGACTTACTACAAGTCAGGCACTGGCCAACAGGGGACACCAGGACAGATACAGTCTGTCTCACTGAGCGTACACCCTAGCAGGTGAGATACACAACAAATAAGTAACCAACAACTGTAGTAAGTGCTGTGAAGGACACCCACAGAACACAGGCTAGAAAGATTAAACACAGTATTGCCCTGACTGGTGTGGCTTGGTCAGGGGTCATTCCACAAGGCGAAGGGTTGCCAGTTCAAGTTCCAGTCAGGGCACATGCCTGGGGTGCAGGTGCGGTCCCCAATTAAGGCATGTATAAGAGGAAGCCCATCAGTGTTTCTCTCCCTCTCTTTCTCCCTCCCTTCCCCGTTCCCACTCTCTGAAAATAAATAAAATCTTTAAAAATAAAAAAAAAGGAAAAGAAAAATAGTAACTTCATGGTAGAAAAACCTGGCAAATACCATTTAACCAAGTGATCGAGGTAAATGTCGCCTGTGATAAGTCACACTGATGTTGTGAAACCCTCATATAAGGGCACTTCACCTCGGTGGTACCCTCTCCTCAAACCAGGACCCCATGGTGTCACCATGAGAACGTACAAATTCTCAAGTGAAGGACACTCTACAAAACCCCTGACCAGTACTACTCAAAACTGTCAAGATCATGAAACACAAGGAATCTCAGAAGATGCCACAGATGGAAGGAGCCAGCATGGGAACTGGATCAGACACAGGAACAGAAAGAGGGCATCGGTGGAGCACTGCCGAAATCCACATGCAGGCTGAAGTTCCGTCAGCAGTAATGAACGGACAGGGTTTCCCAGTTTTGACAAACGCACCATCATAACGAAGGATGTTAACATGGGGGATGGGGAGGTGGGAGTATTTGGTAACTTTCTATATTACCTTAGCAATTTTCCTATAAATCTAAAATTATTCTAAAATAAAAAGTTAAGCAGCAAAAGGAATAGAAAATAACTAAGGTTAAATAGAGTGGCATGGGCTTCTCTGAGGAGGTGCCATGTGGGAGCGTCCAAATGTGAGGAAGCGCTGCTAAGGACTCTCAACCAAGAGCCACAATAAACGTGCCACACACACCCCCAACCCCTCTCACTTAGCACCCGAATGCTTTTTTGGTGGGTAGGTGATCCAGACAGCCTCTCATCTGTCTTTTAAAGAATGTTACAGGCCCTGGCTGATGTAGCTCAGTGGATTGAGCGCGGGCTGCAAACCAAAGTGTTGCAGGTTCTATTCCCAGTCAGGGTACATGCCTGGGTTGCAGGCCACGGCCCCCAGCAACCGCACATTGATGTTTCTCTCTCTCTCCCCCCGTCCCTTCCCTCTCTAAAAATAAATAAATAAATAAAATCTTAAAAAAAAAAAAAGAATGTTACTATATCGTTTTTAAGTACAATCCCACCCCCTTGCCTCCAGCTAGAGATTTGCAGGCCTGGAGTAGCGGTGTGCCAAATGACAAGACAGGCTCCCAAGAATCCTTGCTGGAGTAAAGGATGCCCCAGCTTCTGGATGCAGGAGAGGGATCATCTCTGTTAGAGTCCACAGCTCCTTCCTGACTCACAGAGGAAATAACTTCTTGGCTCTGATAATAACAAGTACAAACACCCCGAGGTGGGTGAATGAGAAGTAAAACCATCTTCCAAGAGAAATAAAAGCCTTTTTCAAAGGACCAACTTTGGAAGAAAGGTGTATGTGTGTGCATGTGTGGGAGGTGAGGAAAGCAGTGGAAAAAGAAGGGATGGGTGAGGCCTGCCACAGTCCAGGCAGATGCTGGAGAACTTCCCATGTAATCTCATGTAATTATCCAAGATCACTTCCATTTCACAGATAACAAAACTGAGGCTGGGGAGGTTAAATCATTTGCTCAGAGTCACGTACTACCAAGCGACACATTCAGGTTCTGCACCTGGCTGTTTTTGGTCCCCAAACCCATGCTCTTTAGAGCCTGCCTCTGCCACCCCTAAGCCCCCGACTCACATCGTTGTAGAGCCTGAAGGCTTTCTTCAGGTAGCCGGCCCGCCCGCAGCCCCCAATCAGCACCGTGTAGTTGCACTCGAGGGGCTGGAGTCGCTCTTCCTTCAGCATCTGCCTCTCAAACAGGTCCAGGGCCTCCGCCAACTGGGGAAGGAAGGAGCAAACAAGGGAGGAGGTTCAGGGTGGCCTCAGAGACCCTCAGCAGAGGGAGGGAGTTTGAAATTGAGCAACCCTCACTGAGCCCAAGACCAGATATGCCCAGGAGCCAAACACCCACCCTGAGCCTCAGCCACCAGCCTCTCGGTCCTTGTGCTCTGTGGCACAGAAAGCCCACTGGACTCTCAACACCTGTGGGAGCTCTCACCCCCACTGCCATGGCTACCTTCCCTCTAGCCACAGGCTGAACTCCTTGAGAGCAGGGGTCAAAGATGTCGTGGCCTCTCTGTGGGGCTACTGTAGAGCCAAGGCCTGGCACTCAGGAAACCTTAAAAATGTTAATTCTATGGATTTCAGGAACCGTTTTTCCCTTGCTTCCTTGGTGACCCATCCATAGTGTCTGCCTCCTGGGTCTGAGCTGGATGGGAGGCTGGGCTCTAGTCAGTTTGGTGGGCATGCACAGAGCCACTGTCCTGCACAATTGCAAGGGGCCATTCACAGCGACAGCACGCTGACACGGTGTAGAGCAGAAGCCCCTGGGTGACTAGCTTCTTCCAACTGCAAACACCCTTGGCCCACAGCTGTCTCTGCCACACTCCAACCTGTAAACCATTCGCCTTTAAATCCTTAGTCATTCTTATACTTCTTATTTTTTCATCCATTCATTCAACCAGTAGTTACTGAGTCCTACTACATGCCAAGCAAGATCTATCTGTAGGGAGGGAGCTCCCTCGAGGAGCTCATCTTCTAGTCTGGAAAGACAGACACCAAATGAGATAACTAAGAACCTAGTATGTCAAGTGGTGGCAGGCGCTATAAACACAAAAGAAGCAGTGAAGTGCTAGAAGGAGAGTGTGGGAGATTCAGTTTTAGAAACGACAGCCAAGCAGGGCCTCAGAAAGTGACAGGTGAACAAAGATCTGAAGGTGGTGAGCAAACACCATGGCTGTCTGAGGGAACAGCCAGTGCAAAAGCCGTGAGGCAGGGGTATGCCTGGGAGTTGGAGGCGCAAAGAGGAGCCTGGGGTGGGTATAAGAGGGTAAATGGGGGGATGAGGGTGTCAAGGTAAGGGGGGGTGTGGGAGGGTGGTGGTGGCAGATCTTGCAGGTTTTATACGCCATCGTAAGGACTCTGCTTCTCTTTATTTCTCAATTTTCATTATGAAAAATTTCAAAAATACACAAAAGTGGAGAGAACTGTGTTAACAACAATGAATACTAATGTTTGGCCACTCTTGTTTCATCTATACCTTGTACTTCCTCTCTCAATAGAATTTTTTTAAAGCAAATTCCAGACATCCTATCATTTCACTTATAAAATCTTCAACACATCCCTCTAAGAGAATTTTAAACATAAATGAAATGTTATCATCAATACTTAAGAGAGTGAACATCTTCAGTGTCACTGAATACATTAGGAGTTTGGGAGGAAGGAGTAACACTATCTGCTTTAACAGAACAGCTCTGTGCTGTGAGCCGACATCTGGGCAGGAGGTGGCAGGAGCATGGGGGAGCCCTGGGATGCGTGCAACAGCTGAGGCGGGCGAGAAGGCTAGGCCTGGGCGCTCAGCGGCGGGGCTGTGAGAAGTATCAGGACTGGCAACATTCTGCAGTTAGAGCTGGTGAGAGAAAGAAAAGAGTTAGGAATGATGTGAAGGCATTTGGCCTGGGCAGATAGAATAATGGGGCTGCCATTTAGCGAGATGAAGAAAGTGTAGGGAAACCAAGGTTGGGAACAAAAATTTCAGGTCAGTGTGAGTAAGTATAAGGGAGATGGTGAGCAGAAAGCTGGATGCACAGATCAGGAGTCCACAGGAAGTCTGGGCTGGAGATTCAAATACGAGGACTACAGTGAAGAGGGGTCACTGAAAGCCAGGAGGTCGGCGGGTCCCTGGTATAGCACCCAGAGTGAGTGAAGACGGAGGAGAGAAGAGCCCTGAGCATCCCTGCCTTCAGAGATTGAACAGGTGGGGCGGCCCCTCACAAAGTACTAAGCGACCAGGGATGTAGGACCCAGGAGCAGCAGAATGCAAAGGTTCCCTCACCTTTCCTTCCTTGATCAGGTGTTTGCACTGAAAGAAGTACCAGTAAGGGGTGTTTCTCCGGCCCTGCCATGATTTTGGCTCCAGCTCCCTTTCCTCATCTTCTTCATGTTGTTCCCTGAGCCGCAGGTTATACAACTGGTCCGTCGATCTGTGGAACATTCTCCGGGAGGAGTATTTATCAGAGAGAGTCCCAAAGTTCTCTTCCTCCTCTGCCTCCTGGATGGCCACGGAGCTGGGCTGGCTTGGGTCAAAGCTAAGGCTGCGTGTGTTCTTCTGGCTCCCTTGGCTGAGGGGCAGCTGAGAGAGGGAGCTGCTGAAGGCTGCTGGTGTTGGCCCAGTCAGCCCCATGGCCCTCAGCCATGCAGGCCCATGCCTACCTCCTGCCCTCCTGGCTCTGAGAAGGTCAAGGTGTTGCAAGATGGACAGTCCCAGGGGGCGGGGACTGGAGGAGAGCCAGGCAAGTCTCACCAGGTCCATCTCTGCCTTTTACCTCCAGGGCCTGGCATAGATTAGAAAAATAATGAAGTCAACTCATGTTCATAGTCCAAAAAGGCAAAAACAAGATAGAGAAGTGGTTACAAGCCATGAGCCCTGAGGTTAGAAGCCTAGGTTCTGACTTAAGCTCAGCCAAAAATGGTCCATGAGTCCCTAGGCACTCACTGCTCTGGCTTAAATCTCCTCACATGTGAACTGGGATGAACTATAATGTCACCCACACAGCACTGTTTGAATGAGGCAATGATTGAATGACGTCTCAGATATATAGCGTTCAGCACAGTAGACACTTAAAGATATTAGGTAGTGATATTACCAAACCATGATCTAATAGCAAGGGTGCTGAAATGAGAGCTGAGATTGAGACCTGACCAGAGTTGTGTGATCATAACCATTACTTGGCCTTTCTGTACATCAATTTCTTCAGCTGTAAAATGAGAATAATCCCACTCACCTCACCACAAGGTTATAAGAATTAAATCAGGTTTTTCAGCATAATACCTGACATTTAATAGGTGTTCAAAAATTGCAACTATTATCATTTATTATTAGGAAAAACTGTTGGCATTTTGGGTTGCTGCCCAGGAAAGCTAATTCAAATGCTTCTTTTCTGCAAAAAGTTGTGGACAAAGGGGCTAGAGGTGTGCTGTCCAATACAGTAGCCACTGGCCACATGTGGCACATGAAACATGGACATCACACCAGATTTCAGAGGCTTCTCACAAAAGAGGTAAAATATACAATTATTTTACATGTTGAAATGATAATACTTTAGATACACTGAGCTAAAGAAAATTTAATACTTCAAAGTTTTTTATTTAATGTGGCTACTTGAAAATTCAAAATTACAAACGTGCTCTAACTATATTGCTATTGGATAGTGTTAGGCTAGAGGTCGTGCTCTGCATACTTGAAACTGTTTCATAAAAAAATATCAAAATAACCAGCATGAAAATACTTTAAGGTCTAGTTATATCAGACAACTGTAGGAAAGATCTCAGAGGTGACAGCAAATTGAACAGATTAATACTGAGGCCCAGCCCAGGGAGGAGAGTGACTTGCTGGGGGCCCTGCACCAGTGTTGTGGGCCAGGCTGGTCAGCTGTGGAGATGAGCTGGCTTTGATCCCAGGTCAAGGACAGCCTCTCTTGACCAGCACCCTAGTGACCCTAGACAGAAGACCTTTACCATTCCATGTCTGGCGAAGTCTTCAACTCCAATATAAACATAACAGGAGTACGTATGTAATTTTAAATGTTCAACTGGCCACATTAAAATGTTTACCTACATTCAATGCAATACATAAGATTACAAAAAAATATATCGAAATAGGTATCAAAGGTTTTGATAACAAACTTTTGCTATACTAGTTAGTATGTGCTTTTTTTCAACATACTAAAAACAAGATCCTGTCATCGTGTCAAAGAGTAATGAGTAAAAATGACACCTGTAGAGCAGTAGATACTTTATCATTTACACTGACTTGAAATCACGACTTAGTTTTGGGTGCTGCTAACGAGTAGACTCGTCAGTCATGGAAGTAAATGCTCAATTTCACAGAGGCAAAAAGATGTAATTTTCTTCCTACCCAAGTTCATTAACCTGCCCACGCTAATGCTAACTCCTGAATTAGAAATACAGTCTCTCTCTTCCCTTGGAGGACCCCGCCCCTCCCCGGACACTCCCCGGGGCTTCCAGCCAACCCGACCCCTCCGCACTGGCCTTCGGAGCCTCGGTTTCCTCACCACACGCCCCCGGCTTAACTCTGGCTGTAACACTCGCGCCCCTCCGGCCTGTCCCCGCCCGGATCCTGGACTCCTGCGAGGATCAAATAGGAGCTCACTCTGAGTCCAGCCCGTGAACGCGGGCCGGGCGAACGCGGGCCGAGTGCCCGCGTCGAACTTGCCCGGGCCCTCGATCGCCTCGCCTCTCAGCGCGTTGAACCCCGCTCTCCTTCCCCTCCACCGTCCGCAAGCGTGCCCCAACCGACCACGCGCAGACGCTGTCTGCGTCACGAACTCCCCGCGCGAGGTTAAAAGTTAGACGGACGTTCAGCTGGCAGATAGCCGAGCCTATCCGAGCGGCCCCTACTCCGCGCTCGATTGGCCGGGTCTGAACAGGCGGAGGGCCGGCGCGGGCTCTGGGCGCTCCCGGCATACCTCGGGCGGCGGCGGCGGCGGCGGCGGCGGCGGCGGCGGCGGCGGCGGCGGCGGCGGCGGCGGCCAGGTTAGGCAAGGAGAGGCGGAGGAGTGCGCCGTGTCGGCAGAAGGTGGCGGGTAGAGGTGTGAGGGAGGCAAGGTACTGGGGAGTAGCCAGGCCGGAGGGGCCGCCGCCGCCGCCATGCAGGAAATCATCGCCAGCGTGGACCACATCAAGTTCGACTTGGAGATCGCGGTGGAGCAGCAGCTAGGGGCACAGCCGCTGCCCTTCCCCGGCATGGACAGTGAGCGTGGGGCCGGGGTCGCGGGCAAGGGGCGCAACTGACTCAAACTGGGACCCGTCTCTCTCGGTCCTGGGACTCGGACTCCGGAGCCCACCTTCCTCGGATCTTTGAAACCCTGGGGCTAGCTTAAGACAGTCTTCTGGAGGGCAAGATCATGTCTGGCTGTTAAAGTAATTACTGAATGAAGGCGGGTATCCTGGGTTGGAAAACCTTCCTCCACCCCCACACACTCGCCAACTGCAGGAAAGTACTATATAACCCCCTTTCCCACATCCAGCCCCCACTGTGATCTCCCTCTTGCTTTCATCAAAATTGGGCCGTTGGGAGAGTCTGGCCGAGAGAACCACCTCTCCTGCAGAATACCCCCAATTTGACTTTCAAGCTCCATTCCCCTAGGATTCACACTCCTGGGAGCCTATCCCTCACTTGTTTTCTGGACTCCAACTTTGGGTCTTTTAATCACACCCAGGCCTCTGCCTGAGCTCCCTTTACAGACTTTTTAAAATGCAAACGACTGACACCTCCAGGATTCCTAGTTCCACCACTTTAAGTTCGTCCTAGCAAAATTTTCCTGCTCCCCAGAAGCCAAGAAATCCCTTGCAAGTTAGCAAGTGGAAGCACGAAAGTGGCCTTCAGAGATGCTGGGTTTTCAGCAATTCTGAAACATTTGCTGATAGAGAAAACTTTGTGAAACCGAAAGGTTTATTCTAATAGCCATGGCCAGTGAATTACTGGGTTCATTGGAACAGCTTGTCCTGAGCCGACTGACTTCTATCACATGCAGTCAGCCTGTATTCTCTTGCTCCCTCAGCTGAACCAACTGCATCTGTAGAAGCAAAAGACTGCACCTTTAATAATTGTGTTGGTATTGAGTATCAAGAGCCGTCCTGCTTGTGTTTCTTCATTTATGCTCTCTCCTCCCTAATAGCCTCTCTCTGGAGCTTGTTCCTCAGAGTCCCCATTCACTTGTGTTTCCTGTGAGATTGTTCCCTCTCCCTGCCTCACATTAGGCCTCTAGAAGGTCCAGGCACCAGGTAATTAATTTCGGTGATCTTGTGCTCCATTCTTCCCCCACTCACTCCTAATTCCTTGAAAGCATCTTTATTAGAGGAGGCTCTCAGAAAGCCTTGAATAATAACTGGTCTCAGTGTATATGTCTTATTTTGCAGGGAATGACTGAAATAAGCCTTTTTTTCTTGTTTTATCGGGTTTTACATTTTTTTGCCCATCTGTTTCCTGTATCATGAACCCTTTGTAGGTCAAAGGCCAGAAGCATTTCTTCTCCCTGTCTTCAGATGTCACTGGTAGTAACTGTACCTTGCTTTGTTTGACCCCTCTCATTTTCCCTCTTCTCTACAGAGTCAGGGGCTGCTGTCTGTGAATTCTTTTTGAAAGCTGCCTGTGGCAAAGGTAAGAAACCCCTGGTTCCTTTATGTTCCTCCCGAGGGGCCTTCCTAGCAGACTTACATGTAGGCCATCAGGACTCTGGGTTACAGTGCCTTCTCCACGCTAACAGTGTCCCAAGATGAAACTGTAGTTTGGGTAGGCTAGCAACATGATGGAGTATTCTGCCTAAAACCTAAAACACCAGATTTAACAAGTGCTGAATCAGCCTTCTCACCTCACTCTCCTTGTGGCCAGAAGCTGATCTATATGACATGAACAGAAGCTCCTAGCACTGAGATGTTTGGGAACTTTCTCAAGGTCAAAGAGTTAGTGAGTGGCTGAGCCCACTATAGTCTGCACAGGCTCACTGTCCTCTGTGTACTATCATCAAAAACCTCCTGCAGTAGTCTGTCTCATGGAGTCTTGTTCATACTCACCAGGCCCCACAGAGGCTACTTGAGCCAGACTATTCATAAGGAAAAGTATCAGCTGGGCGGGACCTTACATACCATAGGGAGGTCTGGCCATTTTTCTTTCTATAGGCAAATTTACTTGGAAACTAAATTTCAATTACCAGCTTGAATAGGGAGCACAGAATTAGAGCATGGTTGGTTTTATGGCTGATTTTGGCAAGTTTTGGTTCTATAACTCAGTCATTTACCACTCCAGTGAGCTAGTTGAACCATCATCGTTTCTGGTCTCATACCCGTGTCCTTACTCAGTACTTCTGCCTTTCTGACCTGCCACCATCTGTTAGCAAGCTGTCCTTAACACGAGCACCGTGGCCGTCTCTTCATTAACTAATACAGTGGTCACTAGCCACAAGTGGCTATTCAAATTTAAATCAATTAAAATTAAAATTAAAAATGCAGTTCCTCAATCATACTAGTCATATTTCAGGTGTTCAATAGTCACATGTGGCTATTATTGGACAGCATAAATGTAGAATATTCCCATCATTGCAGAAAGTTCTGTCCGACATGGCTGGCCTAGATCTTTCCCAGTCACAATCTCATTCTGGTCTGGCCTTCCCAGTAGTCCCACCAGGCCACTATTTAGAATTATGACTTTCCCAGAGTATGGTTTTCTCCTGTCTGTGTGGATGATCACTCAGATCCTGCTGCAGAAGACAGACCTCCCCCAGTTTCTGTGCAATGCATTTCTTTAATTCTGTAGTTGATCTTTCTCAGTTATTGGAGGCTATGTGGCAATTTAACTGAAGATGGAGCCCACCTGAAGTCCAGGCTTCTGCTGGTGGTCCTCTTTACATTCTGTCTTTTAGGGCTGTGTTTTCCAAACCCCAGTCTTTCTTTAACTGCTCCTACAATTTTTGGCATGTTTGTGGATCATGGAACTATTTTTTTAATTAAATAAAGAAATAAACTTGCCCTGGTTGGTGTAGCTCAGTGGATTGAGCACAAGCTGTGAACCAAAGGATCGCTGGTTCGATTCCCAGTCAGGGCACATGCCTGGGTTGCAGGCCAGGTCCCCAGTGGGGGCCACATAAAAGGCAACCACACATTGATGTTTCTTTCTCCCTCTCTTTCTCCCTCCCTCCTCCTGTCTCTAAAAATAAATAAATAAAAATTAAAAAGAAAGAAAGAAAGAAACTTACTCCTCCTCCACACCACCATTGGGCTTGTCAAGTCTCCATCTTACAGTAAAATCTGTGAAATCATGACGTTTTAGTTAGATTTTACTGAAACGCATTAAAATAAAATACATAACTATTTAAACTTAAAAATGTGTGCCCCCATACTGCCTAAAATCACATTGCCTTCTGCCAGGGGCAACTGGCGCCCTCTGGGACATGCTGCTTTCGGGTGCTTCAGGGAGGTATGGGGAGAAGGCATCTTGGCTCCCCCAGGCCCAGTGACCCTGGACTCAGGGCCACATCTCTCTATCTTCCTCCACAGGGGGCATGTGCCCATTTCGCCACATTAGTGGTGAGAAGACAGTGGTGTGCAAACACTGGCTGCGGGGGCTATGCAAGAAGGGGGACCAGTGTGAGTTCCTGCATGAGTATGACATGACCAAGATGCCTGAGTGCTACTTCTACTCGAAGTTTGGTAAGGCAGTTCTGTAAGGTGTGTAGCAAGGCCCCTCCCGGCACCCAGAATCCCCCCGCATCAGGAGCCCTGTGGAGACTCCACCAAGAACCAAAACCCAGAGGAGTTAAGCAGCTGCTCAGGCACCCACAGTATCTACCATCTCCCATCTTTCCAGCTCCAGATGAGAACCTTAGGCATTGCCCTCCAACCCCAGCTGGCCCATTAATCGTGGGAAGTTATGATTATTCCCTAATAATCCCTACACATTTGTACTGCTTCTTCTATTTTTTGAGCACTTTCAGGTACTTTTGGGAATTTGGAACTAAAGAGGGTCTCCAGGTGGACGAATGAACAGTGCAGCTGGCTGGAAGCCTTGTTTCTGCTCAAGTCAACCATCTCCCTTAAACCAGCTTCTTACTGTGTGGCAACTGATTGCCCCCCAGGCCAGAGTTTTGTTTTCTTCTCTGGGCATGTGATCCTAGGTAGTAGCTTGTCTGTCCTAAATATCCCTTAAGAATAGCAAGTTTGGGGGGATTATATTCTGGTGATAGATAGCCCTGCTCTTCACCTTGCAACTGAGATTGCCTCGATCTCTGCTTCGAGAACACGTGGCCTGAGCTGTCCTGAGTGAACTGCTCGGGGAAATGGGGCTGGCACAGGGCTTGGCCAAGCTGTCGTGCTCTCTGATAGAACTAGAACCTCCTGGCTCTGTGCTCTGAGTGAGGTTGACCAGGGAAAGGCCTTGCTGGTCAGGACGAGGGCCCGCTCTGCCCTCAGGACTGCCGACCCCAGGCTCTGTGCAGAGGCCCAGTGGGAGGCTGGAGGCCTGCTGTACCCTTTGTGGTAGGCTGAGGAGTGCCAGACCTGCTGTTTGCTCTCAAAGCAGTATTGTCAGAGGAGACGCTAATTATTTCAGCAGTCCAACAGGCTTGGCCTGCTGGCTTATTAATTACAATTGTGGCTCTTTTTCAAGAGGCAGCACAAGCTGAAGTCAAAGCACAGACAGAAATAGGACTCAGGTTTCCTATCCCCCTCCCCTTCCCAGCAGCACTGGAACCAGCGTGGAAGGAAGCAGTGGCTTCTCCATGGGAGCCTTCTCACATC